TTGATTGGAAATAGACCACTGAGTTTGGAAATAACATTTTGACAAGCTTGAGGTAAGGGTCTAGTAACTAGAATATCATCCACATAGACTAGTATAAAAACCAGAGTTGGATCCTTTTTAACAAATAAGGAATGATCATTTTGTTAACCCTGGAATCCAAGAGAGTGTAAGGCACTATGAAGCTTTTCATACTAGGCTCTTAGGGATTGCTTCAAGCCATAAGAGATTTATGCAATTGACAAACATAATCTGACTTAATGGGATCCTCAAAACTTGATGGTTGCTTCATGAAAATAGTTTCGGAAGGGTTTCCATGCAAAAACGCATTATTGACATCAAGTTGGTTCAAAAACCAATTAAATTGCACTGCCATTGTGAGAAGAAGCCTAATAGTCACTGGTTTGGCAACAGGACTAAAGGTTTCAGTATAATCTAATCATTCTTGTTGGGGAAATCCCTTTGCAACTAGGCAAGCTTTATATCTTTCTATAGTACCATCCAATTTCTTCTTGATCTGAAATACCCATTTACACCCTACTAGGAACTGAGAGGACATGAGAGTCATAAGAGTCCAAGTACCAGTGTTAAGAAGAGCATTGAACTCTTCTTGCATTGCCTACCTCCAATGAGCATGTTTAGAGGCCTGAATATATGTTGAAGGAATGTAATCTTCAGTGATATTAAAGGGTAAAAGGTGTTTGGTAGGGAGTAAGGCTTTTTGTTTGAAGATACTAGATTTTGATCTTGTCTGCATTGGATGGCAGTTGGTAGTTTGTGGAAGAGTATGACTAGGTGGAAGTATAGGGTGTTGGGGTGAAAGTGAAGGTGTACTAGTGGTAAGGGATAAACTGATGATGGGGTGAGTGGTTGTTAGAAAAAAACTAGTAGGTGGTACTGAAGATGTAGAATGAGGTGTAACTTGAGAGAATGTGAGGGTTGCATGGATAGAAAATGAGATAACATTTTGTGATGAAGGTGGAACATTTGCAGAAGAGGATGAGCCTATATGATGAAAAGGGAACTGAGATTCATCAAATAGAACATGCCTTAAGATATAAATATCCTTAGTTTGGGGGTCAAGGCATATGTACCCTTTGTGATTAAGACTGTATCCTAAGAAGGCATAAAGTTTGCTCTTAGGATCCAACTTCGATGTAGTATATGGCTTCAACCAGGGAAAGCAGCTACATCCAAATATTCTGAGAGAAGAATAAGAAGGAGACTTGTGGAATAAAGGCTCCCAAGGAGATGGTCTTGACATTGTAGGCATCCTGTTGATTAGATATATGGCAATGGAAAAGGCTTCCACCCAATAGATATATAGAACCTTAGATGTAGCCAACATTGTTTGAGCTGTCTCAACCAAGTGTCTGTGCTTACGCTCAACACAACCATTTTGCTTTTGTGTGTGAAAACATGTAAGCTGATGATGAATTCCATGATCTTTTAGATAAGTAGACATGGCAGTATTGACAAATTCTCCACCAGAATCAGATCGAATAGAAACAATTTTAATGCTCATCATATTTTCAACTACATTCTTGAAATGAACAAAAGTGGTAAACACTTCTGATTTACATTTTAGAGGAAAGAACCTGCTGTATCTAGTATAATCATCAATGAAGATGATATCATACCTATAACCATAGACTGAATGAATAGGGGCAGGTCCTCAGACATCAGTATGCATGAGTTGCAATGGTTTACAGGTAGTACTTGCAGTAGGTACAAATGAAAGTTTTGAACACTTTCCTAAAGCACAACTTGAACATAATGATTTAACAACAAAAGACATTAGAATACATGACTGAGAAACAAGTTTATTTAAGATCTTAGAAGAAGGATGGCCTAAACGTTAATGCTTAACTTCTGTAGATGCTTTAGCAGTAGCAACATAGAGTTAATGAATGCTAGAAGGATTGTTAGAACCAAAGAAGGGATAGAATCCATGCCTCACAGGACCTTTAAAGAGCATATTTTCTTAAGAAATATTTTTACAGAAAGAAAATGATAGAGGTTAATTGAACACCAATTATCAAGACTAAATTAATTTGCAGAAAGAAAATTTTGTTTCAAAAGTGGCAAATGTAATACATTCTTAAGAGAAAATTCTTGATTATGAGTAAACATAATAGAAGTCCCAAAATTGATAATAGGCAAACCATTGCCATCACCAATATAGACTTGCTCAGGTCCAGTATAAGGTGCATGATTCTGAAGATTTCTTATTGAATTTGTCATGTGCGAGCTTGCCCCAGAGTTAAGTAACTAGGTCGGTGTGTTGGAAGATGTATTGGTATACATGGCAAAAGGTGCATGTTTGTTTCCATAAGTAGGATTCATTCGATAAGGGCATTCAAAGGCTTCATGATCAAACTGTCTGCAAATTTGACAAATAATTTTCTTGGAGTTGAAATTAGATTGATCTCCACGATTATACTTTTGATTTGATCTATTATTGTATCTCTAATTGTTTTGATTGTTGGATCTTAAGTTAGAAAAATTAATGCCCATGCCTTGCACTTGATTGGAGTAATTTCTAGGGTTTAAGAAATTGCGATCTTGACCACACCCTTGGTTGGAGGTGAAATTGGTCATTTTGAGCTACAAAAGCTTGATTGTTATGAGTCGGTGTAGGTAGAAGACCAATAGATGCATTGAAAGCCTAAAGTGGAAAAGAAGAAGAAGAGCGTTTCTTGTTTGTCAATTGAATTTCTTTGCTAAGAAGTAAGCCATGAAGTTCATCGATTGTTGTAGAATTAAGGCGACACTTAATTGTATCCACAAAAGATTCGTACTCAGAAGGAAGACCATTAAGTGTGACAAAGATGAGCTTAGAGTCATTAACGGGAGCATTAACACTGGCAAGAGCATCGACAATTTCTTCAATCTATTGAGGATAGGCTACAGCAGTCAAATCGTCTTTGGTGATGTTACGAAGTCGAGATCAGAGTTCATGAATATGCGATTGTGAAGCCATCGCAAGTTGTGATTCCAATTTGGACCAAAGATCACAAGATGAAGTTACACCGATAATATTTAGAATCAGAAGATCAAAGAGTGTGGAGTTCAACCAAATAAGAATAGTCTGATCATTCTCAAACCATGTGACATAGTCAGGATTCAAAGGGGTACTGCTATTTCCAAAGGCATCGTGAAGAAATTTGGGCGGAGGCAGTACAGATCCATCAATTATTCCGGTGAGGTTGTAGCGGTGGAAGATTGAGCAAATAAGGCACTCCAAGTAAGATAATTCATGGTGGTGAGCTTGATTGGCACCATGGATCTAATGCTTTGGATCGTGATTGAAGTAATTGAAGCAGTTCCAGAGGAATTAGGGCAAGAATTCGCCATAGGAGAAGGGTGAATTCGGTGAATTTAAACAATTCTTGTACTGGTTGTCCTAGAGGCTTTTCTAATTACTTTTCTCTAGAGAAAAAAAAAACATCGACATAGAAAACTCCCCACCCTAGTTTTTCTTTCTCCTTCTTTCTTTTTCTCCCAAATATAATTGAAGTTCATCATTCCCCCACTAAAAATCATAGGGTGAAGATCAATTAGAAAACAAAAGGTGGAAAATCATAAACTCCCACATGTAGTTCTTAAATTTGGACAAATTAAACACAATAAAATTCAAATATCATTTATATGATCTTAAATGACTAAATAATTACCCCCCTCAACAACTAATCCCAATTCACAAACATTATGAAATTGGTAAATACACTAACCAATTATAAGAAATAAGACAGTGGGACCCGGGTGGACAACTAATTCAATCCCCAAGTGTGCCTAATCCTTTGTTTATTGATCCCCCCACATGTCCCTCCCTGCATCCTGTTTGAGAGAATTTTTTTAGTGCACGGAGAACACAAGACAGTAATTACATCACATATTATAATACAAGTAAAGAAATACAAAAATAACTTATTTTCTTCACTTTTATTATGATGCACGGTGTTACAAATCTCTCCACTTTTGCAAGCTATTCAGCAGCCAATGCCAAAATTCCGCCTTCAAAATTTTTAGGATAATGCTAAGAGACCAAAGTTCTAAACTAAATGATATTGAAGTTGATTATTAGATTATTACATAAATATTGATAAATATACACATTTTCTATTGGTGATAAGTCATTTGACTTGCAAATTTAGTTTTAAAATTATAATCTCCCTAATATTATCCAAATTTTTACACACATATTTTCCTTCTGTTACTTTCTCCACTGGTCTCTTCTCTTTGCGTTAGTTTTCAAAACGCTTAAAAAACGCACTTCCATGTAAGATGGTACGTACACACGATGATGTATCAACAAAAGTACTTATAAATTCATCACTGAATCCCATGCACTCTCCGACCTAGCTGCTTCCTGCTGTGCTGCCTTATTATTCTCCTAATGTGTCATGAAATTTGAGCCCTCGATATACACAAAAAAGGTACAACTCATCTATCACAATTCTAGCACATGAACTTTGCTTTCTCTCCACATATATTCCCTTCAAGTTTGGTTGTTGCACTTTATGTATTCCAAGTTTCTTAAGTTAGTTGGAAATGCTAGATATGCTTGTGGAAATTTATACAAATTGGACAAATTTTTGGTTGCTCCTCATCTTGTCAACCATTTGCACAAGCTTCCCATGGCCTTTTTTTCTTCATGCAAGTCTTTTTTTTTTCTTTTTTTTTTAATGCGGACCAGTCGTCGATATACTAATGATACAGTGATATTGATGATACCGTGGATTTATAACTTAACTATATAATTGGTATAGGTGTTAATTTTTTGTTTATAAATACAATTAATTACACTGTAGAAGTATTAATGTCATCTAACCACATCACATTGAAATATGGCAAAATATAAGAGCATCTTCAATCGTGTTCTCCGCTTTATAACAATATTTCTTCTTCCTTTTTATTTTGGGAATTGTTACATTCTTATTGTTTAATTTGTTCCACAAGACCGATCAGCAAATAAACAAAATTTGTTAATTTTATTAACTAAACGAAAAACAAAATGTAGATCATATTGATTCTAAATTTGCCAAATTCGGCAAAAAGAGAAGTAGAATACAAACTCAAGGCCCAAATTCCCTCTCCCATTTTTTTTTTTTTCCAATTCTACAATTTTTTTTTCTCAACGACCCTTGAAACATTTGACTATAAATTCAAAATTTAAGACAAAAAAAATTAGCAAATTGAGCTAGAGAAATTCATGTAAAAATTAGAGAGGTCCACCCTAATTTATCCTACTCTAGCATCCACTACATCATCTGCCGAAAATCATTCACGTTATGATGATGGATCAAGTAGTCATCATGACCACCGTTGGATACACCAAAAATGGAACCTGGACTAAGATATTGATGATGATGATGATGTGATCTCTGGACCTCCTTCTGTCTTCGGAGCTCCAAAACCTTCCTATGCGAATTGGAGTGCCTAGCCGACATGAAAGTCGGGCTTGCGGCGGGCCGGTACTCGGGAACAAGTCGACCCGACTTATACCGGACCCCGCAAGCGTTGCAAAGAGTTTTAGGGCCCAGGGGCCCAGTCCGCCATTGCGGAGTCTTTTCTGCTGCACAATGGAGGCATTTGCGGCCTGAAGAGTCCGAACCTGAATTTGAATTGCCAGCACCAATGGCAGCATCTCTCTTCTTAGGCAATGTCGTTTTGGGAGGTTTGGTGTTATTGTTGGGAGTAATGAGGTGGAGTAGGCGCGTGGACCAGTCCCCGGGGGCGGCGCGTGAGCGCTTGCTTCGGGCCTTGCCCGGGAGAGGCGTTTCGGAGGGGAAAAGCAGTGCGTTTTGAGGCGTTTCGGAGGATGAACACGTTTCGGGGGTTTGAGGTTTCGTTGTGTTACTTACGGAGAGGAACTGGAGAGACTGTAAATCCTTGTCTGCTGAGAAGGAATCCTCCACAAAGTTCGACAGCCATTCCAGCTCCGCCAAGTCATCGCACTGCAATCAAATTTCCACAAATTAATCAAATTGGACTTAATTTTGCAAATTAATTAAATTAGTTTTACGTATGCATATTAGATATTACATGCAAAGTATAAGAATTTATACTACGAAATACAATTACATATGTATTTATTAAAATTTAGAAAAAAAAATAATTTCGTTCTCAACTAAGAAATACAATTATCGAAATATGCTATTTTGTTGATATAAAATAAACTTTTTTGTCAAATGGTTAATTATAAAATTAACGTCAGGATCATGCAAATTGCATGCAGAAGCCAAAAATTAGTGAATATATTTGGAATTCTTGAATTAATGGGATTGGAGGTCTACCGGAACGCAGAGGTCGCCGGAGAACTGGGAGTCGTCGAAGCTCCGGTTGCCGGAGAAATGAGGCTCTCCGCCAGAAACAGAGGAATTACAGCTGTCAACGGCGGTGACCGCGGAGGATTCTGCGGCGGGGTTATGGAAGCTTCCGCCGTCAGCGGCAGTGGTGATGAAGGGGTCTTCGTTAGAGAAGTCGAGTAGGTCTTCGACGGTGAAGTCACCGCCGGTAGGCTTGTCTCCCGGTGATAACTTGGCGGCTCCGCCGTTGAAGTAGCCGCCGCGGTAGAACTCGGGCAGTTCCATTTGTGAAGGAATTGAGTGCGGAAACTTGCAGTGTAGAGAGAGAGAGAGAGAGAGAGTTTGCTTGGATTGTGTGAGACAGTGAGAGTGATGAGTGAGAGATGGAGGGGGCTGGGGGGTTTTGAGGAGTGAAGGGAGGGCAGGAGTGTAAATAATGGGAAATTGGGGCGTTATTTTGAATGGGGAGAGATGTGTATTAAATAATAGGAAGGGGAAGGTGGTGCTGGGCTTTTTGAACCGAACCCCTTATGAAACTCCTCACATGATCGCTGACACCACCACCACCTTTGTCACGTGCTTTTTGGACCCACCTCCACACCCCCAGCTCTCTTAATAAAGCTTAACCAACACAAATTCAGAGAAATAGATATTGGAAAAAAAAAAGGAGGAATTTACTTTGGTTTATGGGAAAATGAAAGTAAACAATTAATATGGTTGACAAATTTTGGAAGGGTAATAAATGTAACTGCGAAGAAACGGACCTTATCCAATATTTACCCTGGTCAATGTGTCATGGGGATTAGCGTCGGATGACTCGGGCCCATCCGACTCGGTCTTGCAAAACCTTGTGTAGGAATTAGGAAATGTGTAGTGAAGTTTTGTTATTCTAAACGTTGAAACTCGTCACGTAATACCACGGTTTAATGATATTCTTTTTTATTTATAAATAAGAAGTTTTATATTTGATTCTCACCAAATGCGAATTTGAACAACATTATTACTAGTTTAGAATGAGGCTAAATCCATCACATCCCTTAGCGTAGATAATATCGTTTGTTTAACAAAAGAAAAAAAAAAAAAAAGCTAAACCCATATGGTTCAAGAAAATTATGGCCTTATCTTAAACAGTAATTAGTTATTTATTTTTTATTGTTGTACTTTTTTCCTAACCGTTAAATTAAAATTGAACGTTAGGTAACAATTTTTTTTTTGTAACATGGAATCTTAAGAACATGACTCATATGTAGTGATAGACTTTGATAGTATATGGAAGATAATAAGATAACAAAGCTCATGGGCATTTGGACATATTTGCTTAGAATTTGGTAAAGTGAAGTTTTTCCTAACATTTGAAACCTCAAATCCAGGAAGGTAGTGAGAGAATTTGGTAGTATTGTTCTTGTTTCAACACATTAATCAATTTTCTACTACATACGATAAATGACACTGTTTATACTATACTAGCACGCTTTTTACATGTAGAAATGGTATTGCACTCGCTTTCTATGAGCCTTCGTCGTGTTTCATGTCAAACGTTTTGCTTTTGATATTCATATAGAAATTATAAACTCATTAGTTGGTCAAGTTTGAAATTTTTCATTTTTGCTGGTAAATAAATTGATGGACATAATTTCATCTAAAATAATGTTGGTTTCCATCTCTTTCTTTTTTTTTCTTTTTTTTATCGTGAAACATGAATTTGTTGATCTGGAGGCTCATTTGACAAGTGCTTAAGCATTTTTATAGAAAATGTTGTTGGGTTTCAAAAGCACTTGAAGTGTTTTTCCAGTTATGCGCTTCTTAGTGAAAACAATTCAAGTACTTTTTTAGAATTAGCTTGCATTGTTACGAAGATTTGGTTCCAAAAGTACTAAAACAAACGCGTTTTCAATCGTTTAAAAACACATTCCACACGAACCCTCATTAATAGAGTTAACCCATAAGTTAACAATAAGTCAATAGCATTGAAAGGGAAGAAGCAATTAGGATAAAAAAAGAGACCCTCATATTCTTATGGTGCAGCCTGCGGGTAAGATAGAATCATTAAGGGGTGTGATATCCACACACCATATTTTACTTCTCACATACCTTTTTAATTTTCAACCGTCGGATCAGATGAATTGAAGAAGATTAACGAATAAAAATTATCAAGGGATGTGTGGATAGCACATCCCATCATTAAAAGTGAAAACCCTGCCCTAACAGGCCACGTGGACGTGATCAAGACCGTTATTTGATTACGTTGAGCTGTAAGCATCGTGCTTAAACGTGGGTGGGGAATATAAACAATGGGTAATGATACGGCAATTGGAGCAAATTGGGGTAGAAAGTACAGTTAATTGAGGTTAAAATATTGGAAAAAATCAGAGGGAGAAAATTAAAATCTTAAATTAAAGTAAAAGCACAACTCCCAAGAGCAAAAAATTATTAGTAGCAGAGGAATCCGGCTGTAAACTTGGACACTATTCGAATTGAGAGCCTTTGGAGGAATCACAGCGACAAAACCTGCAAAGAGATCGATTCTAAAGGGGTTGAAAATTGTATTTCAATTTGTTTAATTTTTGTTAGGGAATTGTTATTGGCACTCCAAAATTCTCATTATACGTTCCAAACTTTCTATATTTAGAAAGAAAAATACACTTATGAGGAGTGTAGAATAAAATTTTTAAAGTACCAATAACATTTTCTTTTTTGTTATTGTATGCTAATTACTTCATTATTTTTGCAATTAATTATGGCCAATAATATGGCATTAGTTACTATACTTTGTACTCGATTCAAAGTTGGAATTCTAGTTGTCATTCAGTACTACGGTCTGGTAGTATTCCTATTTACTTGCAAATGAGAGGTCTTAGGTTTGAATCTCGTGGATGACGAATTTGATACTAAATTAGGTTGTCCATTGTGTGGCTTAGCCAAACTCCCCCTCCCCTTGGTGTAAAATATATCGTTGGATTGCTATTTTATTTTTCCGCTAAACGATGAATTTTGTTAAATTAGATGTTAGATTAGCTACCAACGGAATTCGAACTCATGCCGTCATGCAAGAGCTCAACTCAATTCCAGCATGATGGTAAAGGGCCACTTGTAAAGTTGGAATGCTAGTTAGCTTCTACCTCCGACCTTGGATGGTTACCTTCTACCTTCTCTTATTATGTTTGTATCAAGCAATATAGTTTGATGAACAATTTATTTGTCTTCAAGACCCAACTTTATTCATCAATGATCATTTATGCAATTAATTAACAGAAATAAAAAGTCATTTAGAGTTAAATGTTATTAGATAAATAGATGAACATAGTGTCTTAATTAAACACTATGTTATTACATTGTTAAACAAATGGTTTGATGTTCAATTTGATTCTTGTGTATAATAAACAAGTTGATAATCATACAACGTCGCGCAATGAGAAGAACAAGAGGAAAAAAAATGAAACAGGATACAAAGGGGAAAATAGAGATTATATTCCCTCTAATTGAAGAACTTATTCATGAAGCAAAGGAAGGCACAATCCAGCCAGAATTTGACACAATTTCCTTTTGTTTGACGACATTTTAATGTTACTTCATAAACTGCAGTTCCTAAATTAACACATATTTAGGAAAAGATACAATTCAATTCACAAAATAATTATCCATGAAATTCAGTCTTAGCGTACAAATCAAGTACATTGGCTTGGTGTTTGTGTGTCTACCTCTACCATACATAAATGACTTGTATGGTACGAGTTCACCGTTATGTGGCGTTTTGTGTTAATAATACACATAAAATACGTGTAGTTGTTTTCCACATAGTTATATTTTTTTACACAAGATGTTACTGTAACGGTAAACCGTATCATACAAGTTATACTCCTATATGGTTGATTTTGTTAGAAATCAAATAAAGAGGGTCAAGTCCATGTGCCAGGAATCTATTCATGATGAGGTCATTTTCCTAAGGTGCTTCCTCACACGTGCATTATGCTCAGCATGTCTAAACCCTAACATGGTAGCACGTGTGTGCACGTCACGTGCCCCTCTGTCCTTAATGCATGGCTTAAACTTGATTAAGGTTTGATAATACTAGAGACTAGAGTGTATTGAGGTTTACGTTGGTTTTTTATGGGCAGCTTTATGCTGGTTGCTTCAAATTTAAAAACAAACAAAGGGAAACCCAAAAAAGGGGTGACTTGGGTTTTAAGCCAACGTTTTCAGGCTTTTACAAGAAGATAATCTTATTTCTCATATGATTTATATGATATTGTTGTTTGTTGGGTTCAGTCCACTTCATCTCTAAAATCGATAGTCGAATAGTATACCTGTATTTTTTTTTTTTTTTTTTGTTAGATTTAGCTCCTCAGTGGGTTTTGCTCGGTTTGGAGAATTGAGGGAGAGAAAGGTGAGAGAATAAAGAACAAAGAGAAAAGGGAAGTGCTTATTGTGGAGCAAAAAATAATAAAAAAAAATATAGAGACGACACGTGGATTCTTGGGTTAAAAAGATAAAATTACATTCGAGACACACCGGAACTCCTATGCTCAAGTAGTGAACAATCGCGACTCAATCAAGGTCCAAAATGATCAAAATAGGTATTTATTCAAAACCTATTTCATCCATCCTCATCAAATCCTCCCCACAAGGTAACCTTCAATTATTCATTCAAAATATGATTAATTACCTAAATTCATTGATTAATTACCTAAATTAATTGATTAATTTCCTAATTAATTAATTAATTAATTTTCTAATTGATTGCAAGATATTATTTTGACATAATATCTTGCAATTACACCCAAAAACCACCATTAGTGGCCGGACCCATTTTCTCCAAATAAGTGCATTTTCGTCCAAGAAGAAGAAGGCGGAAATTTGCATCCACAAATTGGTGCTTTCATTAAGAGTCTTGATCAAACGCTCAAAAAAGACTCTCGCATTCAAGGTTTTTTGTTTTTTTGTTCATTTGTAGATTTTTTGTACGTTCTTATTCTTGGAATTTTTATTTATAAAAATTCTTCAATAAAACATAAAAGAAAGGTACAATGACTAGAAACTCGGAAACCATAACGAACAGAAATTCCAACATTCAAGAATTTGGACTGCGGCGATCCACGAGGCTCAATGTGACAACAAGTGGAATGGCACCACCCCCAAAGGACACCATTGTGGCTACGCCTACGGCAGTCACCACGATGGCAACAGTTGTGGCAGCTCACGGTGAAAGAGGGACTCATGGTGAAGGCTTCACCTTGCCCACAAGCCTAAGCCCGTGCCACCTTGAAGTAGCGAGCCCAGACCCGTGCCATAAGGGAGCCCAACTTGGCTTAATGCAAAGGAGCTCAAGTTGTAACCGCAGCTACCAAAGCAACAAGCCAAGGCCCGCAGGCCCAAGGCGCTGCACATGCCCAAGCCGTGCCAAG